CTCTCTCTCTCTCTCTCTCTCTCTCTCTCTCTCTCTCTCTCTCTCTCTCTCTCTCTAGCCGATAGACCCCGAGAAGTCAGGCAGCGGAAGGGTGAGGAAGAGATGGTGGACTTGGAAGAGGAAGAAGAAGAACTCAATCCCTCTCTCTCGTAGCCAGTACTAACCTGTAAAGGTGGCGTCTTGCTGCAGATACACCGAAGACGAAACTGGAGCTATGGCGCCATAGGTGAGTATCCGTGGCCTCCGCCCATCATCTCTCTCTCTCTCTCTCTCTCGCCTCTTGCTCCTACTGGCGCCCAGCGCCGAGGACTACTGCTAACGCTACCGCTGCACCAGAGTGCCGCTGTCGGATCTTGAAGACTACCTCCTGCCTTCTGCACGTGAACGTCGTGAAGTGCCTGGGAAGTTCCTACGAACTGCCTCATGACTACCTGTGAGCTGCCTGCGAACTGCTTGCAGCCTACAGGGTGGGTCAGCCTTATATAGTGCTGGCCCGTCTGGGAGGCTACTCGTGCCTACGCCAAAACGTGCCAGACCCTGGGGTTGACACTCCACAAAATAGGCCGTCATGGCCTGAGCTAAGACCCCGGTCTGGTGCCTGAGTTTCAGGGTAGGTCGATCTTGCGAGGGCCTGGAAATGGCCCGTCATTTTCAGGCTGGAGGCCGAAACGACACAGGGTCTGTAGGCCCTCGTTTCAGACTTTTAGTCTGAAACGAAACAGGCTCTACTCCTACGGACCCTTAGTCTACCAGGTCGGGCACTGTTGGGCCCGTGTGGTACGGAGTATGCCACAGTCCCCCCTCCTTGAAAGACCGAGCTTACCTACGAGGGCGAAGCTGTCTGTTGGAGGGAGGGACTGAAGTCCGGGTGGGAGGCTGTGTAGCTTCCATCGCTAGCCGTTTCTTCTCAAAATGAGCATAGATGTCAGGAGCGAACGCTCGCAAAGTTGCCCGGGAAATCCATCGCGTGTCGTCGCGGTTGCACCACTTGAATGTGACTTTGTACTGCATTGGCTTGTTGCCGTGATTGCGATGCGTGATGACGCGGTCGACTTCCTGGTGACCATCCGTGGAAGGAGGGTCTTGTGATTGTCGTCCTGGGAAGTCGTCGCTCTTGGCTGGTGTATATGTGGCCAGCTTGGAGGCGTGAAAAACTGTGTGCACCGTGAGATGCGGCGGGATTTTGATCAAAAAAGAGGGGKCATCGGGCTCATCACCCGTGGCTGATGTGATGGGCCATGGTCCAAACCACTTTGGGAGTAGCTTGCGGGATACATCCAGTTCAAGCGCAAACTCCTCCGTGGAGACCCAAACAAGGTTGTTGGCGCGGATGGGGCATGGCACGCGACGCCTGTTAGCTTGTTGTTGCATGCGGACTTGAGCCTTTTGCATGTTGGCGCGGGTTGTAGCCAACAAGTCCCTATACTTTCGAACGGAGGCAGGAGAACAAGTGGCGTCAATGTCGACAGTCTTTGGAAATGGAAGATCGGCGAAGATACGACCTTTTCGACAACCGTGGTATAACTTGAACGGAGTCACGCCGATCGCCGGGTGCACCAAAGTGTTGGAGGCGAATTCGATGTCGGGGAGGCGGTCCACCCAATCCTTCTGATCCGTATGGATGAGTGTGCGCAGCATTACTTGAGCGGTTTGATGTGCCCGCTCCGTCTGCCCGTCCGTTTGCTGATGCCGAGCCGAGCTTGGTTTCAACTCTGTGCCGGACTCTTTCATGAGAAAGGTCCAAAATGCTGCCATGAAACGAGTGTCGCGATCGCTGACGATGTCCTCCGGAACGCCGTGGCCGCAAATCCAGCCGGTGTGTAAGAGGCATGCAAGTTCCGGAGCCGTGGCGTAGTACTTGCAAGGAAGAAATCGTGCGTACTTGCTCAAATGGTCAACGACCGTGAGAATGTCGTCGTGCCCGAAGCGGTCCCGGGGGAACGGGCCAGTGACGTCCATGGCAATGGAGAGGCCGGGTTCTCGTGGAATAGGCAAGGGGCGTAACTCACCGTAGGGGTTGCAATTGCGGGGTTTGCTTCATCGACAAACTTCGCAAGAGTCACAATACCAAGTGACATCGGTAATGAGGTCGGGCCATCGGAATCGTTGCCGAAGTCTTGTGATCGTACGGTTGATGCCGAGGTGGCCAACGAGTCTCGAGTCGTGGTACTCTCCGAGGAGGCGAGTCCGTAGGCGATGGTCATGTGGGACGCATAGTAAGTTCTTGCCGCTTGAGTGAAGAAACAAGTAGCCATCGACGACGTGATAGTGGCTGGCCAGTGGGTGATCCAAGGATAGTTGCTCGTAGAGTGTGGTGTATTCCGGATCGGACTTGTGTGCTCGCACAAAATGCTGATGAAGGGTTTCGTCGAAACTGAATGCGTGGTGAGTCACTGCGCAAAGATCTGATCTTCACGAGAGAGCATCCGCGGCTCGGTTGGAGAGGCCCGGAATGTGTTTCGGTGTGAAGTTGAACTGATCGATGAAGTACATCCGCCGAGCAATCGTGCTGCTCACCGTGTCTTGCGTCTTGTAGTAAGTCAATGGGTTGTTATCCATCACCCAAGTGAACCTGCGACGCCCGAGGAGGAAGTGTGGCCAACGCTTGAGCACCGTGACGAACGCAAGCAACTCCTTCCATGTATCATCAATCGTGTTGATGGGAGGCACCTTTTGGCTGAAGTACTCAATCAGATGCCAGTCTACTTCGTCGTGTTGTTCCAAAACTACACCCATGTCGTAGCCGGAAGTGTCCGTAGTCACTCTCGTAGGCAAGGTGGGATCGTAGATGCTCAAGACGGGGGCAAGGAGCAACGCTGTCTTCAATTTGTGGAACCAACTGCGGACTTCGTCGGTGAACTGGAAGGGCACCTGTGGAGACTGCAATCTGGACAAAGGTGCGGCGATCCGTGCGTATCCTCCGATGAAGCGTTGGTAGTACCCGACCAATCCCATGAAAGAACGAACTTTCGTGGTGTTGGTCGGATCCGGCCAATCCTGAATTACCTTGATCTTGTCCGCGAGCGGACGGATGCCTTGAGGCGTCAAAATGTGGCCCAAGTACTCGAGCTCTTGCTGTGCGAATTCGCACTGGGCTCAGTTGGCCTTGTACTTGGCCGTACGAAGCCTGTCCAAAACAACACGTAGATGCACGATGTGCTCGTCCAAAGCTCGACTATACACCAAGATGTTATCGAGGTAGATGAGCACGAACCGGTCCAACATGTCGCGAAACTCCGTTGTCATTGCCGTTTGGAAGGTGGCCGGGGCATTCGTGAGGCCGAATGGCATTACGACCCACTCGAAGTGTCCGTACTGTGTCTTGAACGAGGTTTTATATCGATCTCTTGGATGGATCTCGAGCTGGTGGTACCCGGCCTTGAGGTCCAACTTGGAAAAATACTTGGCGCCGCCCAAGCGTTCGAGAAGATCGTCGATGAGTGGAAGCGGACCGACATTCTTAATGGTTTGAGCATTAAGCTTGCGATAGTCAATGCATAAGCGCAACTCCTTGTTCTTCTTCCGAACGAAGAGAACAAGTGCATCGTAGGGCGAGCAGCTAGGGCGAATCCAGCCCTTGTCAATGAGGTCATCGAGTTGCGTTCGAAGCACTTTGAGTTCCTCCTCGCTCATGCGGTAAATACATCTGCGCAGAGGTACGGCCCCATCTTCGAGGATGATCTCGTGACGAATTGGCCGATTCGGTACGATTCCGGCGGGGGCTTCAAAGACATCGCCATAGGAGTCAAGAAGTTGTACAATGCGTGGATCCAATGGCTGTTCTGCCGCTGGCTCGTCGGGAGGAGGGAGGGCGTGCAAGAAACAAATGCCAATTTCTTCCACGTCGTTCCGTGAGATGGAGTTGCGAATGCTTGCCGCGGAGACCCCGTGACAACCAATCGAAGGATGAGGTGTGGGGACCGTACATGGCACAAGTACCCCGTTCCGGTTATGACATGAACGGTGCGGCAGTAGAAGTTCACCGGGTGTTCCTCGTTGCGCAGCCATGACATGCCCAAAATCATGTCGAACTGTGTGTCCAATATGTCAAAGGACACGGCCTCGCGTGCAAGCGGGGCGAAGTACACGGGGACGGAGTCAATGCACCGGTCGGTGAACTTGTGCGTACGACCGTCGGCCAACGTGACTTGCGTGGGCTGCGATTTCCTTCGAACGCGCGGCCCCAGGCCGGCGCGGGTCATGAAGTCCTGGCTGATGTAGTTGCGAGTAGCTCCACAATCAATCAAGGCGTTGCAGGTCACCTTCCCGATCTGAATGTAGACGTAGAGTAACGGTGCGTCGGTGTCGTTGTACCGTTGCGTGGCGTACTCATGGTCAATCTTCGCAATGTACTCGCGAAGGTCAACAACCGCTACTTCGTCTTCCATCAACGGAGCTGGTACTGCAGCGTGCAAGTAGTTGCGTAGCTCCGCCATTAGGGCGTTGCAATGCGGCTTCGCCGCTTCGGCAAGGAACCAGATGGGGGAAGAGGCAACCATTGGAAGTCCTCCGGTGTCAATGGGTCGAGTTCCTCAAGTCGAGACCACACCGACGAGTCCCCGAGTGATGCTGACGAGGATGCTGGTTCACTTGGCGATGGTGATGAAGTCGCACACGCAAATGAGTCTTGCACGTGGAGATGTTGGTCCAATGGCGGGACCAGCTGGATAACATAGTCCTCATAATCTTCGCGAAGACTGGCAACATACGCATGTTCCCCGGACGTGGAGGAGGTTGTTAGCAAGGCAATTGTGCCCGGCGGAGTAGGAAGTGGAGTCGCCTCACTTCCCGCGAAGCTCAGTTTCCCGAGCTTTGCCGTGGACGAACGTCTTCTTTGCCTTTGTCAGGGCATTGCGACGTCGTATGCTTGTTGTTGTTGCACCGGTAGCAACAGTTCCACCTCTGGCGGAGTTTTTATTGCTCCTCCGTGAGGCTGAACTTCGTCCATGGCTCATTCGGCTGTCCGGCTTCCGTTGTTGACGCAAATTTCGCTTTCTTGTTGTTGTTGTTGTTGTTGTTGCGTCGTGGCGGAAGGGTGTTGACTCCGTCTCCTTCACTAGACTTGTGAGTCATCGCCTAGTCGTTCTCTTGTCCATTACCTTGGACAATAGGGACTTGCTGCGGCCGCGGACCTTTGCCCTTTTCCACAAAATTCGGTTGGCTTCGTCGCTCGTTGGCTGCCCACCGTTTGGTTTGGATGACTTCGCGCGCCTTCTCCACGATCTGGTCGAAGTCCGTGTACAGGCTGCACTCCCCAAGGGCCGTGCTCAACGCGTCAACTGACCGCTGGAAGAATTGGCGACAAAGATGTATGAATGGGATGTCCAAATTCAGAGTCGTCATTATTTTCTGCCACTCGGTTAGCCATACGCGTGTTGTCTGGCTGCCTTGGTGCATGCTGAAGATCCGGTTCACGCCTTTGCCCTGAGCGTCGTCGACGATGAAACATTTCCACCACTTCTCAGTCATGGCCTCCCAAGTGATCTTGGTGTGAAGTTTAGAGACTTCGATGCCCTCGGTTTGAGCCAGGTGATTGAGCCACACTTGGCTGGCACCGGTGCTGCAGAGGTAAAGCGCTGAGATCTTCGACTCGGGCGGGACCAAGTGGATGGAGAGCTCATTGGTGAACCCTTGCCACCAACTGATAGGGTCCGCCTTGTGGTAGTCATCAAATCTGTCGATGCTGAATTTCGGCATCAAGAATTGTTTCGGCGTCACGTTGTTGCAGGTCCCAGTTGGTTGCTGCTGCAGTTGACGCAGATCCGCTTGTAGAGCGGCTATTTGCTGGCTGATGGTTGCCGGTTGTCGGAAGCTGTTCAAAGTTCCGACCAGCGCTACTAGATGATCCAGTCGTTCTTCCAGCTCGCGGATCGATGGATCAATGCTTGACGACGCCGTGTGCCTGTGTGGCACGTCATCCTTCTCCAGCATGTCAAGGCGGGCATGGAGGCTCTTGAGAGTCTCCTCATACTCAGCAATGGTATGTGCCTGCTGAGCCAGCTCCACTTGTTGCCAATTACAAGTGAGGATGACTTGGTACATCATGTTGGCGAAGGCTGACTTGGTCTGTTCCTCCGTAGTTGGTTCCGTCGCCGCCGCCGGATCAACATTCCAAGCTTGGAGTGCGGCGGTATGAGCGGCTTCCTGCTGCATGAGGACAGATGCGGCATCTCTTCGAGCTTTGTTATGGTTGGCAGCTGCGTCAGCTTGCTGCCGGCGTCGTTGCTCTTCTGCGCGTGCAATGGCATTAAGCCGCGCTGCTTCGGCTGCCGCCTCGCGTTGCTGCTCCTCTTGGACTTGCTGCATATAGGTGCCCAGGCGGGCCAGGAAGGTCGTCATGGTCTCTCCTTGCTGTCGGACTGGTGCAGCGTCGAGGGTTCCCGCAGAAGTCGCAGTGGAACCCTCCTGCTGGGCCTGTGGGGATGGGGGGTTCAAGCTGCACGCCTCACGTGGACTGCCGGATGCGGCATTGTCCACCGTGGGGTTGCCCTGGGTGTCCATTTCCGAGGGGTGGGGCAGAGGTAGCTGTTGTCCTGCTGCGGCTGCCCGCCCTCCGCGTGCTGCGATGCGGTTGCTGCGTCGGAGCATAAGCTGCGGTTAGCTGTACGGTGTCGATGATGCGGTACTGCTGACGTGGCCCTGCTGCTTACGTGGCACTGCTACTGACGTGGCACTGCTGACGTGGCACCGTTTGTCGTGGCACTGCTACTGACGTGGCAGTGCTACTGACGTGGCACTGCTACTGACGTGGCACTGCTACTGTCGTGGCCTGCTGATGGGGCACTTACCAAGCCGAGAAAACAGACAGGGGGCTGGGTGGGAGGGAAACGCAGGAAGACAACGAAACTGCAATTTCCATGCCGGTCCTAATCAACAGAATAATTGGAAAAAAAAAAAAAAAAAAAGAAGAAGCGGATCACCCCTTTTTTTTTTCTTTTTTTGTTTTTCTAGGTCTGTAGATCTGTTATCAGTGAGGCATTTTACGGACAATGCTATGAGTGACATCTAGGCAAGGTAGGATAAAGGTCCGATTTTCAGTAAAAAAAATAAATTCAGTTTCCGAGAATGTGACAACGTCCTCTTGTGCCTAGCAACGAAATGCTGATAGGCTGTCAGGGGCCAACTTTTTGCGAAATAGAAAAGAGATTCGATTTTCAGAAAAGAACAACTTCCGTTTCCCCGAATATGACAACCTCCGTCGTAACCCTAATATGCCTAGAAAACGAGATGCTCTCGTCATAAATTTTCGGATATCAATATCAGAAAAACGAGATGCTACTATCAGAAATTTTCGGATATTTATTGCGTAAAAAAACGAAGTGCAAATATCAGAACTTTTCAGATAAAACGAAATGCTAATATCCGAAGTTGCGAAAAGAGAAAAAAAAAAGATTTGCAGAGATTTTGACGAAACCCTACTTGATTTACTAATCAATCATCAATGCTTGACGCCGTGTGCCTGTGTGGCACGTCATCCTTCTCCAGCATGTCAAGGCGGGCATGGAGGCTCTTGAGAGTCTCCTCATACTCAGCAATGGTATGTGCCTGCTGAGCCAGCTCCACTTGTTGCCAATTACAAGTGAGGATGACTTGGTACATCATGTTGGCGAAGGCTGACTTGGTCTGTTCCTCCGTAGTTGGTTCCGTCGCCGCCGCCGGATCAACATTCCAAGCTTGGAGTGCGGCGGTATGAGCGGCTTCCTGCTGCATGAGGACAGATGCGGCATCTCTTCGAGCTTTGTTATGGTTGGCAGCTGCGTCAGCTTGCTGCCGGCGTCGTTGCTCTTCTGCGCGAGCAATGGCGTTAAGGCATGCTGCTTCGGCTGCCGCCTCGCGTTGCTGCTCCTCTTGGACTTGCTGCATATAGGTGCCCAGGCGGGCCAGGAAGGTCGCCATGGTCTCTCCTTGCTGTCGGACTGGTGCAGCGTCGAGGGTTTCCGCAGAAGTCGCAGTGGAACCCTCCTGCTGGGCCTGTGGGGACGGGGGGTTCAAGCTGCAGGCCTCACGCGGACTGCCGGATGCGGCATTGTCCACCGTGGGGTTGCCCTGGGTGTCCACCCCCGAGGGGTGGGGCAGAGGTAGCTGTTGTCCTGCTGCGGCTGCCCGCCCTTCGCGTGCTGCGATGCGGTTGCTGCGTCGGAGCATAAGCTGCAGTTAGCTGTACGGTGTTGATGATGCGGTACTGCTGACGTGGCCCTGCTGCTGACGTGGCACTGCTACTGATGTGGCACTGCTGACGTGGCACCGTTTGTCGTGGCACTGCTGACGTGGCACTGCTACTGACATGGCACTGCTACTGTCATGGCCTGCTGATGGGGCACTTACCAAGCCGAGAAAACAGACAGGGGGCTGGGTGGGAGGGAAACGCAGGAAGACAACCAAACTGCAATTTCCATCCCGGTCCTAATCAACAGAATAATTAAAAAAAAAAAAAGAAGAAGAAGCGGATCACCCCTTTTTTTTTTTTCTTTTTTTTTTTTCCTATGTCTGTCACTGCGTTGCACACCGTTCGCGTTCGCCAGCGAACGCGAACACGTTCGCCCGAACGTGTTCGGGCATGAAAATCTGGCGAACGCGAAGGGTTTTTTTTTTTTTTTTTTTTTTTTTTCCCCCAGGGGTCGTGGGGCATAGGCCTGTGTCCCTGAACCCCCGCCCCTGCTCTAAGAGTCGTGAATCGTAAATAAAGCCCCCGTCTGTGTGTGTGTGTGTGTGTGTGTGTGTGTCTGTGTGTGTCTGTCTGTCGGGGGCACACACACACAGAGACGCAGACACACAGACACACACACGTGGCACACATACACACACGGGGGCACACACACACATACACACACACACACACACACACACAGACGGGGGCTTTACGTGACACACACACACACACACTGAACCCATACCCCACTTCCCGATTTCCTGAAAGCTTTTTTTACCCCCATTTCCCAAAAAGCAATGAATAACCATATGCTACTGAAATCTTTATCCGTATTTTCTAAAAACTTTTGATGGGAGGACACTGTGACATTCTGTGGGTGGACACTCTGACAGCGTGGGAGGACACTCTGACAGAGAGTGTTCATGCTGTGTTTGGCTGTGCAGCCCCAAACTCGTTGCTGCGAAGGCACCAAGCCAGGAGTACTGTCTACGTTCATTTCATGTTGTCGTGAGTCCCTGTCTCCGACGTTGCGTAGTATGCGGAGCCTTTCACTGAGGATTGTTGTATTGTAGCGAGTCCCTGTCTCCGACGTTGCGTGCTATGCGGAGCCTTTCACTGAGGATTGTTGTATTTTCCATATGGAAAATACAACAATCCTCAGTGAAAGGCTCCGCATAGTACGCAACGTCGGAGACAGGGACTCGCTACAACATGAAATAAACGTAGACAGTACTCCTGGCTTGGTGCCTTCGCAGCAACGAGTTTGGGCCTGCACAGCCAAAGACAGCATGAACACTCTCTGTCAGACTGTCCTCCCACGCTGTCAGAGTGTCCACCCACGGAATGTCACAGTGTCCTCCCACGGCTGTCAGAGTGTCCTCCCACAGAAGGTCATGATGACACAAGCACCGTTGAACCCATCCTGGGCAGACTGTTGTGGTTCAACCTCCCGACAAGTCGGTGAAAGTCCGATGAAACAGTCTGGCACAGACATGCTTTTTTGAGTGTATAGCAAATATGACAATACACACACACACACACACACACACATGCCCCCACCCCAAAGACAACCACCGGTGCTCCCCCAGGTCCCTCCAAAGTCCCGCCGGCGACCGGTACCGGCCCAGGCGAACCCTGTTCGCCAGCCTCGAAAACACGTTCTCGCGAACGTGTTCTCGACCCGTTCGCGCAAACGGGAGAACGTGTTCGCCCGAACGCGAAGGGCCGCAAACATGTTCGCCGTGCTACGCAGGTCTGTCGATCTGTTATCAGTGAGGCATTTTACGGACAATGCTTTGAGTGAGATCTAGGCAAGGTAGGATAAAGGTCCGATTTTCAGTAAAAAAATAAATTCAGTTTCCGAGAATGTGATAACCTCCTCTTGTGCCTAGCAACGAAATGCTGATAGGCTTCACAAAATTTCGGCTTTCAGGGGCCAACTTTTTGCAAAATAGAAATGAGATTCGATTTTCAGAAAAGAATAAATTCCGTTTCCCCGAATATGACAACCTCCGTCGTAACCCTAATATGCCTAGAAAACGAGATGCTCTCGTCAGAAAAGGATGTGACACGTGGAGGGGACGGAGTGGGGGAAATCGCCACGACGGACACCATAGCCACCACGTGTTTGACACGTGGCTTTCTGAGGCGTATCAGGGGGTTGGAGAGAAGAAAACTTTGGAGGGCACCGAAGTGCATAGGGCAAGATGATATGAGCCGGCCACGGCACATGAAGGTACCAAAGGACAGATTGGAGGCAGGCGAGGCGTGACACGTGCGGGGACGGAGCAGGAGAAACCACAAAGTCACTGAAGGCACAACAGAGGCCAAAACCGATAACGAGGCAGGCGAGGCGGGACACGTGGAGGGGAAGGAGCGGCTGAGGAAGAAAGGAGGTTCATCTGAAGGATACTCTGGACACAGGGTCTGTAAAGATCGATCGACGATCAGGTGCGCGCCCAAGTATCTCCCCATCTCCCACAACCGGGCTTCCCTCCCCGCCCACCGAGCCAGCCAAACAGACTGTCCTGATACCAATCGGGATACCAATCGAAAAATTACAAAAAACAGAAACTCAGCAATCAGGAAACACAAGGAATAACGAATCAGTGGCAGGTGAGCTTAGGTCAACGGGTCTTCACAAGTTGCACCCAAGGAAAACGAATCAGTTTGGTGAGCCTCGGTCAACAGGTCTTTAGAGTTTGGCCGATGGACAAAGGCCTGGGAAGACCGAGAGCAGCGGGCCCTATGCTCTTCTTCCAAGGGGCCATGAGACATACTTGGGGCACACGGGCACCCAACTCCCCGTATGATCGCCCGCGTTCCACCCCGTCGCCCGCACTTACCGACCCAACCTCATCCAAGGAGAAGGCAGCCTGGCTGGACCCAGGGATGCTCACAAAGACCGCATCAGCGACATCCTCCTCATCACAGCACCAGGAAACGGAAAAGGGAGGGAGTGAAGGGTCAAAGAGGCAAGACAAGGTCGAAGGAACCCAGTGCAGTGGGAGAAGCGAGAAGGACGATACAGAGATGAGGGACACAGAAAAGGAAGATACGGAAATGGGGGAAACCGACGAGAACGAGATTCTGACCGAGGAAGAAAAGGCAGAAAAAAGGAAAAGGAAAAAACAACAATGGCTGCGCAAGGGGAGAAAAAAGAGACAACGACAAAGGGTGCGGAAAACCCCTCATGGGCACAGCGGGACAATGCAGGAAAAAACGCTGAACATAAAACGACTCGTGCCCGGTTCGCAGCCAGGGGAAACAGAGGATCTGAGGGTACCGTTGAAAAGTCTCTCCTCCACGGAAGCTTATTTTCTTACCCTTTTCCTCCTCCCCTCGGAAAGCAAAGTGGTGGATTAGGGAGGAAGGAAGACGATAATGAGAACTTACCCGGCGGAAAAACTTGAGGACAGGGACAACGCATATATAAAGCATGCGAGCAACTGGGTCTTCCAGGGCGACGTGACACAGAAATCGGTAAACGACAAAATCAAGTGGATATACAAAAAGCTAGAAGAATTGAAAGGAAACCCTGATGCTGTTCGTGAATTTTTCCTTATACAGCCCCTGTCGTCGACAGTTTTCACGGTCCTGAGTCTATTCACACAGGACAAACAACGAAGCGACGGATGGAGAAGCATCAGATGGGAAAGATCCGAGGTACGTATATTTCCATGGCAACCGAAAAAACTCTCCCCGGAGGAAAAACGAGAACATATGATGAAGGATTACTTCTGGGTAGAACTGCGGCACATCCCGGTGGAGGTGCAGGCCACTTTCATACACGACCTGGCACAACAATACACAATTGTAGACTTCATCGACCCGTTGCCAGCACATGTTGCAAACAGAGATGACTATGTCATGCTTGCCCTCGATCTGTCGAAGGGATCAACCCTTCTCCATCGACGACATCATCCCCTTCCGAGTAGGGGGGAAACTTCACCAAATCCACACTGCGCACAAGTTCCGGCCCTGGTGCTTTAAATGTAGGGCATACGGTCACTTGTGCACAGAATCTGCTTGCCCGCACCACCCAAACAACAGACGACCGACTGCGGGGAAGCTACAACGCGATCTCCACAGGCCAAATAGATGGCATACTGCGGACGCAGGGCATGAGGGCTGGGTATACCTCGACGAGCTAGACTCGAAATGGCAGACAAAGGGATGGACTTGGGAGGGAAGGGGGGATCAATGTTGGGCTATTAAGCCACCAAATGAATGGGCACCCGGGCACATATTGAAGCCCCAGGATCGACCTGCACCCCCCCTAAAAGTCAAAAGCCCTACGAATCAGCAACCACAACCACAGCCAAGTAATACACAGAAAAAACAGCAACAGTTGGTAAAAGGCCCGGCTGCAGAGGACAACCACCCCGGTGGGGACCGACAACAGATGCAGCGGGGGGGGGGGAGGGGACGGAAATGGCAGATCTTGAAAAGGAAAGAACCAGAACCGGAAGAAACCACCGATGACAGATCCCAACAGTCACGGTGGGATCGGCGGATGAAGGACCCAGAACAGAACAACTGCACCGAGAGAACAGCCTGGTTGTTGCGTTTCGGTGCAGGATTTGCACCCATCTTCTAGAGGCAGGTCCGAAATTGATTTTTTTCAGGCATTTATCTAGGAACATCCAGTCCACGTGATCATAGGCCTTCTCAAAATCAATGAAGATGATTGTCGCGTTTTGTTTGGATTGTCTTGTTAGTTTGATCACCTCATCGACTAAAAGGATATTGTCCTGGATGTTCCTACTCTTGATGAAGCCTGTTTGGTTTGGGTGTATAATATCCTCCAGCACTTTGGTCAGCCTGTTTGCTAGTGCTTTGGCTACCATCTTGTAAACCACAGTGAGGAGTGTGATTGGCCTGTAGTTCCTTATATTTATCTTTGCGCCTTTCTTGTATAGGAGGGTTAGGACTCCCTACCCGACAAATTCTCCCGTACTCCCGGTCTCCCACATTGTTTTATAGAAGTCCATTAGATCCTGTGAGAGGTCCGCCCACATTGTCTCCCAAAACTCTTTTGGTAGACCGTCTATGCCCGGGG